AGCGAGGGTCCAGAAGAGTCTTTGTCTTCCTAGGCGCATCTCATATCAGCCCTGGCAACAGGCATTAGAAAACTGGGGGCAAGGCTTAGCCAAGACAGATCGCCTCCATTCTCCTCTGGATGAGAAGCCATAACCCTCCGTCAGGATCGCTGGGCTTCCTGGTTTCCAGGCCCCGATGGCCACGGGCTCCGGCCTGCCTTTGATTGCTTCAGCGAGCTGACCTCCTGTCGCAGTCCCCACCCCGGAGCCTCTTTCCAGCAAAGCATGAATGGACAATCTCCACGAAAGGGCAGTGACGGGGACAGGCCCACCAGCCTCCTCCCACCAAATCCCTTCACGTAGTGACATGAAACACAGGTACATACTGGGGCTCAGAACATCACAGGACATTCATCCCTGAGTGAGGAGGGACAGGATCGAGTGAGCACAAGGACACACTGCCCGGTACAGAATGAGCTTTATTCCAAGTCAACAATGGACTCAGAGTCACGAGGAAGGCTTTCCAGGAAACACTGCTCACCGCCACCAATGCAGCCTTCTTCCTCAGGCTAACTACTCGAAATTCCTTAATGGGGAGCTTCTTGTCTGTTCTGAGAAAGGAGAGAGCATCATTTCCAGGAAAAAACGATTGGGGCAAGGTGAGTAATGTGTTAGGGATCCATCACACCCTCCTTAATCTTCATACTTCCAACCGAGGCAGCATTCACACAAGGAAGTATCTCAGGAAGAGCTGACTCCTCCTTTTCCACATCCTGAAGCTCCTTGACATGGTGCCCGGAACCTCTTCTACACTTTGCCAAGTATTTTGAAACTATGCACCCCATCCCATTCCTGGATGTATAGTTTTAAAATGAGAGATTGCCCCTAGGATTTCACAATATGCCGTTAAAATGTGTGGTTCCCAAAATGGGTTGGTATTTGACATTCTGAGGGCGGGGGGGAGAATTCGGTGATATTTCTATTTCTGATGGTCACACGTGTGATGATCTGAGTCACTGTATCCCATGAATAGTGTGCATCTGCAGGATGTGCCATACCATAATAAGGAATATCGATGACATGACAGATCTGGCAGGAAGTGAATTGGACACACAGGGAGCCGGGAGCTTCTGAAGACCCAGTTAGATAAACGTTTCCCTGAACTGGGTGTAGGCCGAGGGCTCCGGTACACATGGGTCACACAGCCACCCCCAAGGCAGGGGCGCCCCAGCCAGTGCCCTGATCACCCGAGAAAGAAATGGCCCGGCCAGGAGGTAGCAGATGGGGAAATAAAGACACTGTCCTCTCAGGCCACAGACTAAAGCATGAACTCGAAGCGACAGCTGAACAAAATTAAATATACTTGAAGTTGCCCATGCCTGGGAAGACTAGGAACCATAAGGAGAAACAAAGCCTGCGGAGAAATGCTAGGTTCGCTGGGAATTCTAGTGATGAAAATGTGGTTAATTACATAAACGCCACTGGATAATCACTTAGGCAACCAAGCTGACTAGACGTGGAGGGATTTGGAGAATTTTGGGAAAAGCCCAGAAAATGCGTCCCAGGAAGATCATAAGGGAGACAATAATTTTTGAAAACATGTCAGAAGGTATGGAGGTGAAAATGAGAAATCTCTAAATGCGGCCACTAAGTGCCAGGGCACATCGAGGGGAGGCACTAGGTGAAGGTGAAACGGCTAAAACCCGATTTATACCATGAAACGGCCCGTGTCCTCACACTGCGCACCTGCCAGGCGAGGACGTGAGCCTGAATAAGATCTGCTCTGATAGCAAGTGGGCCTCAGGCATTGGAGCTCCTTAACCGTCAAGGTCCATGGGGAGAGGAGACATACATAATACTTTAAACAATAAAGAACTTGAATTAAAAAAAATAGAAAACCCAGGAGGAAGATGGCATGGTATTTCAGAAAACAATTTCATTTAAATCATCTATGTATATAAAAGCCTAAGTGTCCGAACTATGGAAAGACTGGTTGACCAGTGCTGTGATGTGCACTAACCACCAGGGGGCAGATGCTCAATGCAGGAGCTCCCCCCGGTGGTCAGTGTGCGCCCACAGCAGGAGCACCAATCAGTTGACCTATGGGATGTGAGCTCATGGCTGGCAAGAGCACCTGCAGGTGAAAGCCTCTCCCACCCCTGCAGCAGTGCTACCAAGCTACCGAGCAGCAGCAGCAGGCGGAGCCAGGAAGAGTGGGCGCTGGGTGGAGCCTGGCCTGGGCTTGGGCTCCTCCCCAGCTGCCTGCCACTTCGCACACTCCTGCAAACCCTGAAGGATCCTGGATTGCGAGAGGGTGCAGGCCAGGCTGACGACCCCACTGGTGCACGAATCTGTGTACCAGGCCTCTAGTGTTATTATAAGAGGAGTCTTTGGAAAATGGGGGGGAAAATTTCTGTTCAACGTTTGCCATTCGGCTCTTTTATTAGCCACATTCCATAAGTCAAACATGAAGGAAAAGATGCAAATCTCACTACAAATCAGACTGCCGGAACGATTCCACCCATAAAGTCTTGTGCGTTTAAGTCATTTCTGTTTATCCTACAAACTGAGGCCAGAGGAAACCCGGTTTCGACTGTGCCCCAAAAGCAGTAGCCTGGGTGCAGGAGATGACGTGGCCTTGTTTTACAACCACTGGCTCTAAGGAAAAAGGATTTGGAGTTCGTTGCATTTCTTTAAAAAATATAGGAATAGCTCTAACTGGTTTGGCTCAGTGGATAGAGAGTCAGCCTGTGGACTGAAGGGTCCCAGGTTTGATTCCAGTCAAGGGCATGGACCTTGGTTGCGGGCACGTCACCAGTGGGGGGTGTGCAGGAGGCAGCTGATGGATGTTTCTCTCTCATCGATGTTTCTAATTCTCTATCCCTTTCCCTTCCTCTCTTTAAAAAAATCAATAAAATATATTTTTAAAGAAGATGTGAATAGTGCTTTTCATTTTTGCAAAGCAAAACTGACTTCAAGGGAAGCTATTCTGGGGACGACCATTCTAAAATAGTTCCGAGAGGAAAATGTGATCATTTTCAACCCCGAACAGAGAAGCGGGAGCAGAACAAAGCTCGTCCTACATGTGAGGTGGAAACATTACAAACGTGTTCATTGTGGGAAGAGCGGTAATGCACCCCTGACTCCTGACAGCGGTGTCGTCTTTTTCCTGTTTAAATTCTGTACAGGCTTTGAGCCTAGAAATGTTCTACAAGAATTCTCCTAGAAATTTCTGCACCTCCCCACCGTTCCCACCTCCCCTCCAGGACAGGATTCAAGGATCTACGGAAGCCCCTTGGCCGGGGGAGTATTTTCTGAGCCAACAACTGTGACTGGGCACAGCGGGGCGCTACGGATGGCAGGGAGGGTTAGCAGGGCCTGCTACTGGGCTTGGTGCTGAGCAAATCCATCTCTTTCTTGGGAAATGCTGCTGGCCTCTGTCCCAGAGTTGAGGTACATATATGGCTATAACTCCTAAATGTCATCATCCTAAGGTGATGATGTAGTGAGGCACCTACAGGGCATTCTCCCAGGAGCAACGATAGAAAGTGCACGAGAAGCGCCATGAGGAGGATGGCTGACTCCCCGGAACCCTTTGGTGGGCCTGGCCATGACTGACGGGGAGACACGGACCAGTGAGTCTCTTCATTTCATTCCTTTGGGCTCAACTGCCTGTGAGCACACCATCCTTGACCTCAGCTCATGGTTTCCAGCACAACCTCATGTTCAACATCGCCAAGGCCAACACGTCCGCAGGCGCCCAAGAGTCAGGTGCATCATTTTCTGGCGGTCACTCCCACCCACGCCCCCAGTTGACTGGTCTAAGACAGTGGTCGGCAAACTCATTAGCCAACAGAGCCAAATATCAACAGTATGACGATTGATATTTCTTTTGAGAGCCAAATTTTTTAAACTTAAACTTCTTCTGACACCACTTCTTTAAAATAGACTCACGCAGGCCATGGTATTTTGTGGAAGAGCCACACTCAGGGAGCACAAAGAGCCGCATGTGGCTCAAGAGCCTCGGTTTGCTAACCACAGGGCTAAGAGAACGCGCAGTGGATCGGCCATGATGGCCTCCCTGTGTGGATCCAGAGGAAGGCTCAGAGACTGCCAGCTCTTGCTCTGAAGCAGGTGTTCATTCATTCTGTTTCTGTGTCCTGTCAGAAGCGGCCAGTGCTCTGGGGAAATCTGCCCCATGGGAGTGAGGAAGGGAGGACGGTGGGCAGGAGGAGCCAGCTTTGGAAGAGCAAGGCATTCAGACCGGGAGGGAGTCATGCCTGAGAAGTAGATACTCGGATCTGCCATCCTGTGAGTCAGGCAGGAGGGAAACGTCACAGAGCTAATGCCTGATCATCGGCACGTTCCTCTTTAAGCTGTAATATTCCAGCAGCCTTGTTTCTCCCTTCCTTTCGGGCTGCTGGCCTCTGTCCCAGAGCTGAGGTGCATACACGGCTATAACTCCTCAATGTCTATTCAGGAGAGGTCTACTCTGGATACGGGCTCATTACACCGACAGTAACAGATGAGACGATGCAGTTCTCTCAGAGCGCACTTGACCTACATGCCAGGCTCCGGAAAGAGGAACACTGCCCACAGGAGTGAGCCCAGCAACCCCAGTGCCGGAACACGGCTGCCCGGAAGTCGGGGTGTGAGGTTGGGGACATCATACAGGTTCCTCCAAGACCAGTCCCCTGAGGCACCCCAAATGCCCACTGTTAAAGTCATTCACTGGAGCTAAGGAAACTGCCAGGAAGACCTCCATTAAAATGCAAATGTGTTCCCTGGGCGGGAAAACACTTAAATCATTATCAGCCATTAACACTTTAGTCCAAATTAGTTTCAGATTTATGAGCCAATTACTCAAAGGACAGCTCAGAAAGCAGGCGAGGCAGGCCAGGGTGGTCTCCGCTCCTCAGCACAGAACTGGGAGACAGACAAAGCCATCAGCGAGGCCATGGCTTCCAATCTTGTTGTTCGCCAGCGGTTTGGGGTGGACACAACTCTCACACAAAATAAAGAGAAGTGGGGCGTCTCTAGACAAAACCAGAGCCAGGTCCCCGAGCTCTGGGGGCACCTCCCCCGACCCGCCCACGTGGTTCTGAGGCGGCTCCAGGGGAAGGGCCCCTGAGAAACGCCTTTGAACATCATCCCATTCATGCACTTGTCCTCGCGGCCACACTCTTCTCTGTCCTCCTTTTCCCACAGGTCGAACAAAAGCCAGAGGCGTCGTGGACGTAGGGCTGGGACATGGGCTCCTAAAGGGCACCAGGTGTCCCAGTTCCTGGGCCAAACCCCCTGCATCTTGGCTGGGCGGAGAGCAGCTCAGTCACACACCCCCCTCCAGGAGTCAGAAAGCACAGACCCCTTTCAGGTGAGTGACACAGCCCTTTCTCTTGAAGACTGCCCTTGGCGCTCATTTCAAGCCTAACAAGTGGAGAAGGCAGTGTTCTAAATGTTTCAGGCCTCCTACAGACTGACATGAACTCGGAACGTTCTAAAAACCGTTCGAAGAAGAAGGAGGTGGAGGAGAATGAAGAGGAGGAGGAGGAGGAAAAAATGGAGGAGGAGGAGGAAAAGGAGGAGGAGAATGAGAAGGAGGAAAAGGAAAAGGAGGAGAATGAGGAGGAGGAAGAGGAAGAGGAGGAGGAGGAGGAAAAAGAGGAGGAGGAGAATGAGGAGAAGAAGGAAGAGGAGGAGAATGAGAAGAAGGAAGAGGAGGAGGAGGGTGGAAATGAGCTCCAACCAGATTCTTCAGAGTCGCCCTGACTAGCTCAGTGCCCTGCTAAGACCCACATTCCTCAGTCAATTCACAGGGACTCGGACCCCCTGGCCAGTGTGACTGTGATTATCACACCCAGAGGGTTCCTCTCTCGTAAGGTGGTTAGGGGACCCATGTCCACACAGCTCTGGGTGCCAATGTCTGACACCCAGTCCAAGTGCGGGTAGATAAGAAGAGGTGCGTAAGTAAATGCCATAAGGACACAGTGACCTGTGGACTGAGTCCAGCTGGACGCTCCGTCAGACAGGCTGCCCCGACAGGAGTGGGGATGCTGGCGGCACCCTTTCCGGGCCGGGACCCCTGGGATGGGACTGGGGAACCCAGGAATGCAACTCCTGGAAAACAAAGCCTCTGCCATAGCCCACCCTCCGGCGGGGGCCCTGGAATGCTCATTCCAGAGGCGCGCCAAGAACCCACTCCCCCCAGCAACAGAGAAGGTGAGTCTCCGCAGCACCGTGCATCGGGCTCATTGGTCACAGTCTAGATTCCTGCAGCCGCTGCGTGGCGGGGGAAGGGAGGTGAGGAGAGCCTTTACTTTAAATGCAAGAGAAGTCCGCACGATTCCAGCTTGACTCCAGAGGAGCTAATTCTGTCACGTCAGGAGCATTAACTAAAAAGATGGGGTCTGAATAAATAAGGGGGAAAGTCAGTGCCTTGCTATTTTGTGTGTGTTGTGTGTGTGTGCGCCATTTTCAGAAATCTCTTAGCAACTCAACATTTGTGAAGAAAGCAGACCCTGGGTGCATGCAGATGGGAGCTCTTCCTGTAGGAAATGTGGGAGAAGAACTGGCATCTAGATTAGGGGTGTCGAACTCAATCAGAGAAGGGGCCAAAATCTAAAATCCAGCCTAAATCGCGGGCCGAATGGTTTACTGAACAGTCATAAACTGTCATTGTGATGGAAACGCAGCGGAGTGCAGTGATGATAGCGCAGTGCGGGCCACATTGCAAGGCCTGGCGGGACGGATTTGGCCCGCGGGCCTTGTGTTTGACACATGTGATCTAGATGATAACAATGAGATTCTGGAGGTCAAACAATGTCATTTTAGTAATTCTAAGTCCCTGAAAAGGGGCCTCTGGTCTGAGAGCATGGCTGCAGGAGAGAGTTTCTGTCTGAGTGTGAGCATCACACACCAAACTCAGTGAGAAAATGGAAACTCGCCCTCTCATCTCCCCGCCTCACCGTGCAGCTTCCATCCAAACACAGGGAGGTCATCTTCAGGCAAACGTACTTGTGATGAGGTGTTCGGAGGCCACGGCAGAGAAAGAAAGAGGCACAGACAGTGGCAGGTGCTCTGCCAGCGACCAGACTGAGAAAGCGGCAGGGACCGGCACCCCTTCCCCATGTGTGTGGGTGTGGGGGGGGGCAGGGAGAACTCCAATGATGGTGAAGGAACATGGGTGAGTGGGGAGGTGGAGCACAGCTGTGTGATCAGAGGTGCTGGGGACCTGGGTCCCTAGGGCGGCCACATGGGGAGGGGCAGTCAGTCCGCAGACATGAGGCCTTCAGCTGTGAGGAACAGGCCAGCGGGAAGACTACTGTTTGTGAGTCTGTCCCCTGCCAGGAGCCAGAGCCCCGTGGACGCTGGGCATTAGACGAGATGAGTGGTCGCAGGTGCAGAGGAGAGACCTGGTTAGGAATGAGGTGGCCATTGCCAGCGAGGAGCCACCAGACAAGCTGGTCTTCCACACAGCCCAGAGCACTGCACGGCCAGTCAGGAACACGCCTGTGCATCCGCTCAGACAAAGGGGCTTCTGCAGAACAGCGGCGTCCACGTTTGGGTACAGAGAGGCGAGCCTGCCCGGGGCGTGCAGGAAGACTGCTGTCATGCCTCTGCACACACGTGTAGCAGACTGGCCGGGCGCGCTCTGATTAGGTTTCCCCCACAGGCTCTCCCAGGCCTCACCATCTCCAGGAATCACTTGGTGGGTCCAAGCCTATCCAACACCTCTCCCTTCAATTATATTGAAGTAAATAATCAATAGGTCCACTAAATATGGACACAAACGCATCCCGGAAACAGGGTGGGGAAACAGTAAGTTTATAAATCCACCGAATTAAGGGCAGATGGATGGGTTTGCTTCTTTGATTATCAACATTCCATAATTATTTTTAAGAAAGTTCACCCAAGTGTTCAGATGAACACCCGTTCTCCATGATAAGAGATACCTCACTCACCTCCAAACCCAACCCCATGGGATACAGTGACATCTTAGAGGCATCACTGCCAGACAGGGAAACAAGCAAGGGCTGCAATGCCTCTGGTACCACTTAATGCTGTACAAGGATTGCTAGTCAGGCAGATATATAGGGAAAGCCAAGCACATTTGTAAACCATGAAAATGAGAAATGTCTCACTGTCCTTGCTTATGACACAACTAGAGGCCCGGTGCATGAAATCTGTGCAAGGGCTCGGCCCTTGTAGCCCCAGCTTCGTCCAGAGGTCGTCCAGATGGTTGTTCTGCTATTTGGTCTAATTAGCACATTAGCTCTTTATTATACAGGCTTATATGCTGAAAAGGCAAATAAAATCAATTTCACAAATAGCTACTACAAACTGAGAAAACATGAGCAAGATAACAGGGACCAAATTATTACGGAAAAAAAAAATTTAACTTCTTCATAAAAACCAACAACCAGTTAGATGATTTCATGGAAAAGAGTCCGTTTACAATGTCTATAAATACTTAAAACGGGAGGAGATAAAAGTCACAGGAAATGTGCAAGAGCACATGTTCGCACCTTTAAAACCCTCCCTGGAGATACCAAGACACAAATGAATGAACAGACGCTTGTTGGAAACTCTATACCTAGATAAAGTGCAAGAATTTCGCCAATATCGAATGTTCATTAAAATGCTTCCCAAACAAGATATTCTGAAAAAAATGTTATCCCATGTTATCATTTTTGGAAAGAGGGAGATTTCTAATGTTTTTTAGAAAGCAGTGTGTTGATGAATCAAGCAGGTCTGAGTGATGAGTGAGAACTGATGTTAACTCCCTGCAGGGAAGGAGAAGAGAGCCCGGCAGGTGCAGAAGGCTGGGGGAGGGAGACCACACATCACACAGATTAAAACCTAAGTCTGGTAATGTGTGCATCTCACTGCCATGACTGAGGGAATGAAGCAGTGAATTTTAATAAAAACTTTAACTTTGTCATGCTTTCTTTCTCTCTCTCTCTGTCTCTCTCTCCTCCCTCCCTTCCCCATGTTTTTTTCTCAATTAACTAAAAGTATTCTTATAAGGTTTGTGCATTTACTGTTTCATTTCTTCTGAAACTAGGCATTTCATTTTCTTCAAATGTTAGTAAATCTGTCCTGACACAAACAAGCAAACAAAACAGCTGACAACTAGCATCTGCCATGGTTTTCAAGAATCATTAAGACACCAGAGGCCTGGCCCACACAATGTGTGCAAGGATTCAACCCTCACAACCCTGGCGTCGCCTGGTAGGTCGTTCAGCTGTCCGGTCTAATTAGCATATCACGCTTTTATTACTAGCTTTCCAAGGCGCCCTAGCATTCTGGGGTGAGTTGGCTTTTAGGCGGGGGAAGGTAAGGAAAAGTTTGGCTCCTTTTCCTATCTTACTCAAAAGCTAACTTTCCATTTATTTTGTATTTCCCAGATAAAAATAACTCGACGTGCAAATCTCATTCAAAGCCAGGGAGTTCCAAATTCCTAAAGCAACCTCCATGTGCAGAGGGACTTTAGAGGATGAATTGCCATTTGTCTTTCAGAGCTTGAACTCTCGCCTTTCCCGGTTGTAAATAACATTTGCCTCACTGACAGCGGAGCCGGACGAGGACGGCGGAGGTAAACCAGCCTCAGGCACGTGTTCGACTGCACCGCGATGGGCTGGACCAGCTATGGTCCGTACTCACACTCCCCGGTGCACTGTCTCTCTCCTGAATTTTACCTGGAAAAGAATGAGCAGTTCGTGTTGGACTTAAGTGCTTACTTACTGGTCATTAAGCCTCTTAAAGCAACAATTCCTGGGGTGAAGTTCCCTGTGAAATGGAAAAGGTTGTGTAATGTAAAATACCACCCCTTCGTGTTGGGTCCAGGGCATTCATCATCCGGGTTCTCAAAGGCAGGCTCACGTCTATGTTTAAAAGGGACACCAGAGCCCTGTCGTGGTTGAGTGATTACTATACAAATGGATATAACGTTTTTTGGAAAATCGGAAGGGCTTTCTTTTCACGAATGCCATAGAAAGCATGTCTGTGGGATTCCTTCTTTAAAA